CAAATAAACAGACAGACAAACAGGCAAAGAGAAACAGCCAAAGGCTGTAGCTGTTGAATTCGAAATGATATTGGACGTGGTACGGAAATAGTTTCTTGCAAAATTGTTCTAATATCGACATCGTCGAGGGTTACGCAGAAAACCAGGATTTTGGGTTTTTTTTTGATAAAAATGTTCTACTTCCTCCTTGTGGCCGGACTTTTTGCAAACGGACAAGTTGTCGAAGCCTTGAATGCTTCCGGTTTAGCCCCGGATGTAAGCTTCGGATTATATCCTTGATAAACCTTTATTTTCAGAGAAACCTCAAAATCATTGGAGGTGAATTGCGCGACATCGACAACTACCGCTTCATTATCTCTATCCAACGCCCGAGCCGGGCTGGGGAAGTTTTTTTCAGTTTTTGATTTAACTTTTTAGCCTCACAAACAATCCCAGGCTCGTTAATGCTTATATTTAATTTTAGTGATGATACGTACTATCATACATGCGGCGGAACGATCCTCGGCCATAGCTGGATTTTGACAGCTGCCCATTGTTTGACCGAGAAAAATGACAACAGCGTGCTGTACGTTGCTGACAAGGTGAAGTGCAAAGAGTGAATTTCAGAAAGAACTTCACCGATTATATCGTGGTTGCTGGTACGTCTCGGCTTGATAAAACCGGATCACCGGAACCCTGGGCGGTAAGGCACTTTACTGATGATTAAATTGAGGTTATCAATCCACCATTTTCCAGCAAAAAGTCGGCATCAAGAACGCGTTCACGAGTCCAAAATGGGCTAGCGCGGCGCGGAACGAGAAGCGATTTGACGTTGCGCTACTGGAGGTATGAAAAGTAGTATATTTGTAGAAATTTTAAACTCTAACTAAACTTCAGTTGAGCGAACCGCTAAAGACCCTTGGGACGGCCCGTATTAATTTGTGGAAAAATTTCCCGGTCGAGCTAGTCGATGAGATCGAGGTGTTGGGCTGGGGACGGACGGACCCGGCAGGTCGATTTCCATTTAGAGCTTCTACCGATTTTAGCACGCTCCGTCAATTTCCTGCGAGGCTACAAAGCCACCTTCTACCGTCCCTGCAAGGTGCCCAAGTCCATGTTCTGTTTTGCAGGGTTGCATGGTGAAGGCACTTGCTATGTAGGTATAGCGTCAAATACCTAAGCCTAAGCTTCAGCCTGAGGATAAGCCTAAACCAAAGCCTAAACTCCTTTTTAGGGAGATTCCGGTGGTCCAATCATTGCAAAAATGGAACTATTCCCGAATCAATGGGAATACGTGCAGCTTGGTGTCGTCACGGGACACCTCGGCGCTGGTTGTGACTATCTGGACATACCCTGGGGTATCTGGACTCGACAAACCCGAGTTTAAAACTGCATTTTAGATTTCTCCAACTGGATAAACAAGTATTGTGATGGATCCGGAAAACCACGAAATCTAACTTCTGCCATGACCATGTTTACGAATATCCGAAGCGAGAAGATGTTTGGAAACTTTCTGGAGACCGAACAGTGTTGTACTGAAACGAAAAATCGTCAGAATAAATGGAGGGATTGGCGGAATCAATGAAAATAATGAGAAAAAATCTTCGGATCTATTTTTAGCGCCTGCAAATTATACAGATAAGGTGAATTGAAAATGTTATTGCAGCCTCTGTTGCCATAATCCCTTTCTCCTTTTCGATTGTTTTTTCGGGTTTTTCGTTTCGGGCGTGCGAACCAACGAGAGGAAATACTTGGTTCTTCTAGGCTTCTTTATCGACTACCTTTTAACTCGAGTAAGTGAGCTTTCTAGGCCGCAATCATTTTTAGGGAACTGACGCCTTGGAGGTGTTTGGGAATGACAGTTTATCGCCAAAGGTGCCTTTTCATGCATTTTCTATCTTGGCTTTCAGAGAAATATCAAAATCGTTGATGGTGAATTGCGGGACTTCGCAAACTATCGGTTTATCGTCTCGATTCAAAGCTTGACCAAGTCAAAGTAGGTTTTGCGAAAATTAGGGATTGACACTCCGCTTTATGGCCTTAAAATTTGTCATTTGTAGAATTTATTTTTTGTAGAAAAGGCTACTTCCATCAATGCGGCGGATCGATACTCGGCTATAGCTGGATATTGACGGCTGCTCATTGTATAACAAAGCCGGGCGACAACAGTGTGGTGTAAGTAAAGTTAGCACCAAATTTTTGCAACCCTTTTCAGCAAGGACCTGGCCAGACACATCGTTGTAGCCGGAACTGGCCGGCTCGGGCCGACCGGATCGCGTGAGCCCTGGGCGGTAAGTTCTTGCTACCCAATCTCAAAAAATTTTCAGCAAAAAGTCCGCATCAAGAAGGCGTACCCCTGTCCGGAATGGGCGACCGCCGTGTTGGCCGTGACGCGCGAGCACGACGTTGCGCTGTTGGAGGTAGAACATTGATAAGTCGTGATCAAAAAAAAGACAAAACCTAGCTGACACGCCCTCTAAAAACCCGCGGGATCGCAAAAATCAATTTGTGGCGATACCTTCCCATGAATCGAGTCCGGGATGTGGAAGTGATTGGATGGGGCAGCTTGAAATACTATGGCGGTAAGCCTGTAAGGATAGCCGGACGTACTCGCATTACCTTTTCAGGGCCAATGGCCGAATTCCTACGCGGCTATACCACCAGCCTTTTCCAACCCTGCTTCGAGCCTGACCCAATGTTCTGCTTCGGGTCTCGGGGTACGGTTGGGCCGTGTTTAGTAGGTGTTGTTTAAAAAACGGAAATACCGTATTTTAGGACGATTCTGGTGGTCCAATTTTCTCCAAAATGCAGCTGTTCCCGAATAAATGGGAATGGGTGCAACTTGGTGTTGTCACGGGGCACTTTGGGAAGTGCAATCACACATCGGTACCATGGAGTGAGTTAGCTAAAATATTTTCAAAGAACTGTCGTTTTTAGGTTACTCAAGCCGGCTCAACCCTTATTGTGATTGGATAGCGCGAACGACCGGCACCAATTTTTGTCATGACCATCATCCATGAAAAATAAAAGTTATGGCTATGATTTACTGTACCCCCCCCCGCCCCGGCAGCCGAAAGATTTTTGCAACAACCTTTGGTAAGGTTTCCTATATTTGTCGGGATTTTTGCAATGCCATGCGATAGAGCATCAAAAATATACTAGGAGCTTTAATTTGAGCCTACAATAATGTAAAATAAAAAGTTATAGCCAAGAAATCCGGCTGGGGGTAAAGTAAACCGTAGCCCAACTTTTCTTATTTTGCATTAGTTTGACTCAAACTAAAATTCTTAGTATATTTTTTGACGCACTACCCAATGCCGTTGAAAAAAATTGCGAAAATATGGAAAATCGGCATAAATGGTTTTGTGAATGGATCGGCATCGAAGCATAAATTTGAGAGCAGATCATGCAGCACATCAAGACAGTGTTTTGACTTCTTGAGCCGTAGAGCTTTCGTTGAAGTGGAGGAAGTAGATGCAGTCGCCATGGATCTTCTAAGTCCACTGATATTGCTACTCTTTTCTTTAAATTTCATAGCAATGATAAAGGTTGGATTTGAAGACTTTCAAGGAGACTCTAGCATTAAAGTTTGCATTTTGTTGAATGCACTAAATCTTGTAGCTGCTAATCTAGGAACTTCAGGGATCTTCTGATGCTAACGATGACGCTAACTTTGGCGATGGCGAAATTGACGTAAACCCATCCCTGTACCGTTATGAGTTTTAGCGCAACATGAAAATCATGAACGGCCAGGCCCGACAAATCCGGGACTACCCCTACATGGTTTCAATTCAGCGTCCGAATCCTCGTGCTCCGAATGTGTAAGTTTTAGAAAAGACACACGTTTTGCATGCTAAAAGCGTGCAAAATCTTAGGTCCTCTCAAGCTCATCACTGCGGAGGGTCTCTAATCGGTCTGGAATGGGTGTTGTCGGCGGCGCATTGCTTTTTTCATCCAAACGGGAAGCGGTATCGTTTTTGCGATTTTTCGCCTCGATGCGATCAAACCTTTAAAGTAAAATTTAACTAAGAAATTGTAGAAAAACATTGCGCGGTAGAGAATCGTCTAGGCAGGGAAGAATGCCCAGGAAAGACCATCGACGGAACTCGGAAAAGTTAAAGAACCCTTAACTGAGAGGGTTTGCACACCGAGGGACCAAAATTGGAGCACTATAGCAAGTAGATGGGGCCCGAGTGTACTTAAATTCCGACAAACATTGGGTGCGCTTTACATAACTGAACTTTGTTAAGATATCGATTGATTCTATAACATTTCGACCATAACTTTCTTAAGCGAAGACGCCAGCCTATGGCGAGTGATGGTGGGCAGCACCTTCTGGAAACTTGGCGGACCAAACGATACACTTGGGGTAGCGTTTACAATTTTTAAGTAGCATCTACAATTTTTAAGCAAACGAGGTTTATCAAAGAAGTGCACATTGCGCCAAACTACGAGTTGGAAGGTGATGAGGACGTTGCGTTGGTTCGGGTAAGGACTTAAACAATTGATTTCATTAAATCGGAAAGCAAAAACAAACCATTATATTTCTAGCTGGAAAGCCCGGTGACTCTGAACGCTAACGTTCATCCAATCGAATTGTGGACGAAAATCGAGCACAGTCAGATGCAGAAGGTCGAAATTAACGGTTGGGGCCGGGTAAATTCAACAAGTAAGTTTTTGGCCATCTTAGCTCGTTTAATAACGGCATTTCCGAAGCCTGGATAAGCTACATAAGCCAAGGCCTAAGCCGAAGCCTAGGCCTAGGCCTAAACCTAAGCCGAGACCTAAGCCCAAGCCTAACTATAAGCCTAAGCCCAACAATAAGCCCATATCCTCCAAACTTCAGGCAATCGAAACTCGCAAAAATTACTCGGCTATCAGACAAGGATCATGAAGCCCCGGGAGGGCGAACCGGAGTGTGAGTATCGAAAAATTTACTGCTTCCGGGCAAACCTAAACGGGTCCAGGAGCAGCGATTGTCAGGTAAGCTATTTCTTTTCGAGCAGCAGTTTTTTCGTGCTTTGCTCTATTTTGTTAAAAATGTCGATGTTAGGGTGATTCTGGAGGCCCGATCGCCGCAAAATTGACGAAACAAGGCGTGGAACGCTGGGTACAAGTGTCCATGGTAAACTACGGAATGGCCTGCGACCCGGGCTATCCTCCTCGGGAAAGTAAGTGAATCATGTATGTCCTGCTGATGTATGATATTTTAGCCCAGGGAATGCAAGTGAGCCGTTTCTGTGATTGGATCGCGCAAAAGACGGCAATAACTCTGTGTCTGGCACCTGGAGCTTGATGCAAAAATATGAATTTATCCTTTGAACGCGTGTAAACATGTAACGTACCTAACACACCTTAAAGGGATAGGGGCGGCAGAAGTCAATCGATTACGCGCGGGATAGAAAATGTCTCGGAGCCTCGCCCCTGGGCGCCCTCTCTCGCCGCGGGACCTGTTGAACCCCCTCCCCAAGGTTCAACAGATGCTGTCCTCATCTCTTTAAAAAAGACTGTACAAAAATGGCATTCATCAAAAGGTATACAGGGTGTCCCAAAAAAACCCCCCCTACCTAGCGGTCCGCAGTCAAGTCCGATTTTTATGATTTAACTACCCATCGATAGCTCTCGAAAAGGCGAGAAAACAAGCGGGTCTCGTTTTCTAAGATTCAAACTAATTCCATCGATATTTAATGTTTTTCTAAAAAACTGGTACTTTTTCAACAGGAATTTCGCAATTAGCATGCAGATCCTGCACAAATTAGCAGTTTTCATGGTTTTTGGACGTAAAATTAGCGAATAAAAATGCATAATAAAGAAAATGAACCCTCCTTGTTTTCTCGCCTTTTCGAGAGCTTTCGATAGATACCTAAATCGTAAAAATCGGAATCGACTGCGGACCGCTAGGTAGGGGGGGGTTTTTTTTTTGGGACACCCTGTATTATGAAAATAGCCACCATACGTTGAAAGGGTCAACGTTTGGGGATTCACCAAAATCGATTCAATAAAAACGCAAAATCAACCCTAGAGATCTAGCTGGATGGCTGAGCCGATGGGTAAGGGATAGTCGATACAATTCGCCAGCGGCTACCCCAAGGTAAGATTCTTCTCAGGCTCGAATCCAACCGCAAGACTTTGAAAACAAGCTCGACTTCATCATCCTGGATCACTTCTTGTCGCTCCCAGAATTCTTGAATCAGACCGTCCATCTTTGCGCCCCGCTCCATCAGCTTTTTCTGACGCGCGTTAGGCCCTATTCGAAAACATTTTTGGTCTAAAGTAATTTATTACCCATCGATCCCGGCTTGACACGCGTCACGCGATATCTAATTGGTTTGTTTGGCACTTCGTCTGGTGTCGGGACGATCTTGATTGGTTCGTGAAGGCTTGCTAAAATCATGGTTCGAGCCTGCAGATCGTGCTTACGAAATAATTCCGGCTTCTCACATAGGAAACGAAGCATCGGCTCCAGGGACTGGAACGATATCTTCATCAGCCCGACGCGCACAAAACTGCTATCTAAACATATTATGATTTTTGAAGGCTTTTGAAAAATTGTTAAAAACAACAAAAACATTTCCAGAAACTGTTCACCCGTTTTATTCCATTCGCGTAATACACTTTTTCACGTTAACAACATCTACCCACCTTTCTTCGGGACAGACCATTTTTCTTCAAACCGTACAAAATTCTCATCTAAGTAAACGTTCTTTTCTAAAGGGTGCTTTTCAAAACATCATTTGGTGGCAGTACCCCAACTGTGTGCAGCCGGCAAAAAGAATATCTCGACGCGTTCATTTTCCAAGAATCCGATGCGAAAATAGAAGTATGGGTAGAGGTTAGGGCCCATTCGTTCTGCTTGCTGCAAAAGTTCTTCCACCAATAGGCGCATTTCGGGATGGCGTGGAACGAGTTTCCAGTTCGTGATGTAGCGTAGCGCGCGCTCATAGAAAGAATGGCTTTGGACGAAGTTTAGCTGGGATTGCGTTGTGCAGTCGTAGCCTAAAGAAAACGGTTGATGACGATTGAAAAATTTAGAGTAAAGCTATCGCAGCGCTAGGTCTTAAAACCCTCCCTATGCCTGCTTTACTGCCCACGCCTTCGCCGCCAAAAAATTGATGCTCTGTTTCAGCCGGCAGACCAATTTTTGTAAAAGATGGAAGTTGTGGCTGTGGTTCAGTCACCTCCCCCAGCCCTAAGCCTAAGTCTGTTAAGTATACCAAAATACTCGCCAGAGCAAGATGAACATTTTGTTATACCTTACACACCTGTAAGTAAACAGGTGGCGGAGATTCAAAAGTTGGGGTCGGCTGAGGGGGGGTAAACTGAACTTTTATGGAATTTTCAACAACTATTAAGCTGGCTTACCTTGAATACTTTTTCCGTAGGGATTTTCATATTCACGTTCCCGACATGGCACATCACATGACACTCGATTGCCGGTCTTCGCATGGAAAATCAAGGCTTCATGTTCATCAAGTGGTTCGCATGCACCCCCTTTACGAACCAACTCGATTTTCTCCGAGGTGCGCGTGTGGCATCTGCAAATAGCCTACGTACTGTTAAATCTTATCACTGTCATTTTGATTTGTCAGCATAACTACCTAGGCACCGGTGCGATATCGCAGGCAAAGAAGTAGGCAGCAACGGGCTCATCGGCCAAGAAACGAATCGTGATCTGAGCCTGCATCTGTCCACGCATCTTTTTGCCAGGAACCCTGTCCACACGCTCTTGCTCATACTCTGAAAATCGCTGCGCCACGCCGCTGCGATCGACGAGCGCCCGACGGAGCGCCTCGGTATCGAGGCAGGCGTTCTTGAAGACCTTATTTGGCTGTTCGTCTTCTGCCAGCCGTTGGATTTCGGCAAGATCTCGGCGCACATTATAATTCTGGATTAAGAACCAATCGTTGCGGGAATTCCCGATAGTCATCAACTCGAAATATTGTCGTCGGGCAGAAATTTTGGACAACTGTTCCACGTTGGTCCTGGCAGCCTGGAAAAGATAGGAATTTTGCTACGCACTTCATGATAAAAGCCGCCGGTTTAATCTGTATCA